TTGTGACTCAAAGTATTTGTTTTGTGGTTCAGAAAGTGAGCTCCTGATAAGAAAGGCTGAGGAGGAAAAAGACAATATTTTAAAAGCTGGAAATGTGTGCAAGAGTTCATTTGTGTATGATCAAGTTGGTTAAAGCAGTAGCTGCAATTGTTTGAGAAAATGCAGAGCACATATTGAAGTGTGAGGAAGTAGGGATCTGGGCAGGTCTATTTACATACGCAATAGCCAAAATTCTTTTCTCATTCCCTCAAATTGGTAAATCACATGGGATCCTGCTTCTTGAAATTTCAGGCCTAAGATAATGGAGAATGAAATACTGATTTTGTTTCAGCTTCCTGGCTTCTTACAAGAGAGGCAAGCCAGATTTTCTTGAGATTTCTTAGACATGAGAAATCATGGGCTTGCTTTGAACCTAAGAGTTCCTTTCCAATCCACATGCCACTTTCCGAAACTGGAAAATGCACGACTTAGAGTACAGAGACCTAAGTTTCAGTATTGAAATGCGACCAATAATTCATATTTAGAGCTCAAAGTTTTAAAAATCATTGCTTGGAATTTAGTCATTCAAAACCTTCACAGAAAGGTAATTACGCAATCTACCATTCACCCATCTATCCATCCAACAATAAAAAAGAAAATTTGACTTCAGTAAATGTACAATCCAGTGAGTGAAGGAATAAACTAGTGAATTCATTATGATTGTGATAAATTTATTTTTAAAAAGACAACAAGAAGACACAACTTTGACAAGAACTATAACATGAGAACCTAACTTTGTCTGTAGGCTAGAGCTGGAAATCAGTGAAGTTTTCTTTAAAGAAAAGACATTTAAGCCTATATTTGAAGGGTGAGTAGGCAGAAACTAGAGGAAGAGTCACATATAATAGTGGAGAAGGGCAGCTTATGTCTAGGAAGGGAGGCAGGAAGACAGGCTAAGAAGATGAGCCATGTCAGAGATAATGATGTCAGGGATAATGATGTCTGAGGTCTGAATCCAGTTGCTCAGGCCATGTGGAAAGGAAGTCAGCAGGCCTCTGACATGATCAGATTTGCATTTTTAAAGAATCTCTCATGGTATCTAAATGCAAAATGCACATAAGGACTGAGAGGATACATTCCGAGAAGATAAAATAATAATTTAAAATCCCCATCCTTTTTCAGTTTCTAAAAAAGAAAAAAAAATTACAGATTTTACCATTTCATGACAACACATACTGTGATTATAATTTTACCACTTACAGTGTGCATCGCTTGGTTCTGCACATAAGGAAAATATTCTTCATTTTAAGCAGGCTCAACATGAGCAGAGAAGATACAGATGAGAGAAATGAACAGCCCAATCTTTATGTCATGAGCTAAATTGTGTCCCATGCTCAAATTCACAGGATGAAATCCTCACCCTTTACAGGATGTGACTGCATTTAGAGACAAGGCCTTTAAAGGAGTCCTTAAATTAATATGAGGTCAGATGGGTGGGTCCTAACCCAATCTCTACTTAAGAGGAGATTAGGACTCAAAGCAAAAGGAAGGCCAGCTGAAGACGCAGGGAGAAGAAGGCCAACTATAAAACAAGGAGGAGAAACCAGACCTGCTGACATCATTATCTTGGATTTCTAGCCTCTAGAATTGTGAGAAAAATGTATTTATTTTGTCTAAGCCACCCAGTCTGTTTGTATTTTGTCCTGGCAGCCCTAACAAACTAATATACTTAGTGCAAAAACAAATCCTTTGTTAAAAAAAAATCACCGTAGATATTCTTAGAAAGTATGTTCTGCTGATTTGAAAGATGTTCATTTCTCAGCAGGAGTACAAATGAAGAAGAAATTAATTTTCTAAATAGAGTTTTTTGGGGTGTGAGAGGTGGGGGTGAACCAAAGGAATGCGCTTGCTGTGTGAAGCATAACTGTGATTACAGTGAACTCCCACACTGGTCAGGCTTCCAACTGCAGGTCGCGCACCATCCAAGAATGACTACATTGGCACAGCAGAGCTAATCACACCACTTCTGCTTTGACCATGAAAACCAACAGTTAACAGTGCTCTGAAAACTGAAATGTTTCATGCATTCATTCAAGTCAGGGAGACTTTCCTCATTTTGCCCAATTCTCTTCAAAGTCATCAAACATGTACCTTGCATACATCTACTGGTCTACTATGTGTAGAACACTGTGAGGAATATAAAGAATTTAAAGGCATGGTCCATGACCTCTGGGAAGTCAAGACAGAAATCAATTAACATTTACTTTTACAATTTGCTATCTTTCTTTTTTTTTTAATTTTTATTGATTTCGGAGAGAAGGGATAGGGAGAGAGAGATAGAAACATCAATGACGGGAGAGAATCATTGATTGGCTGCCTCCTGAATGCCCACATTGGGGATTGAACCTGCAACCCGGGCAGGCACCCCAACCTGGAATCAAACCATGACCTCCTGGTTCATAGGTCAATCCTCAACCACTGAGCCATGCTGGCCAGGCTGCTATCTTTCTTTAAAAAAATATATATATATTATTGACAGTATTACAAATGTCTCCCATTTTGCTCGTCTCCACCCAGCCCCCATCCCACCCCAGGCCTTCACCACACTATTGTATGTGTCCATGGGCTATGCATATAAGTATATATGTCCTTTGATTAATCTCTTCCTGTCCCCCCACAGCCCTCCCTCCTGAGATCTGTCAGTCTGTCCCATGCATTCATGCTTCTGGACGTATTTTGTTTGTCAGTTTATTTAGTTCATTAGATTCCACATGTATGTGAGATCATGTGATATTTGTCCATACTATCCAAAGCAATCTATAGATTCAATGCAATCCCTATTAAAATACCAATGGCATATTTCACAGATTTAGAACAAATATTCTAAAAATTTATATGGAACCAAAAAAGACCCTGAATATCCTCGGCAATATTGAGAAAGATGAACAAAGTTGGAGGGATCATAATACCAGATAACAAACTATACTACAAAATCATTATAATCAAAACTGCCTGATATTGGCATAAGAAAGGGATATAGACTAATGGAAATAACAGAGAACCCAGAAATTAACCCATACTATTATGGTCAACTAATATTTGATAAAGGAGGCAAGAGCATACAATGGAATAGAGATAGTCTCTTCAATAAATGGTGCTTGGAAAACTGGCCAGGTACTTGCAAATAAATGAAACTAGACCACTAACTTACACTATACACAAAAATAAAATCAAGATGGATAAAAGACTTAAATGTAACTTGCAAAATCATAAAATCCTAGAAGAAACCTAGGCAGTAAAATCTCAGATAGCTCACACAGCAGTATTTTCATCAATACATCTCCTAGGACAAGAGAAGCAAAGGAAAAATAAACAAATGGGACTACATCAAACTAAAAAGCTTCTGCACAGCAAAGGAAACCATCAGCAAAATGAAAAGGGAACCCACTGCCTGGCCAGTGTGGCTCAGTGGTTGAACATTGACCCATGAACTGAGAGGTCACGGTTCAATTCCCAGTCAGGGTACATGCCTGGATTGCATACTAGATCCCCAGTAGGGGTTGTGTATGAGGCATCCAATGGATGATTATCTGTCATCACTGACTGCACAGTCTCTGGCTTTCTCTCTCTTTCTCTTTCTCTCTCTTTCTCTCTCTCTCTCTCTCCCTTCTTCTCTCTGAAATCAATTAAAACATATTACAAAAAGAAAAAAAAATGGGAACCCACTGTATGGGAGACCATATTTGCTAATGATACATCTGATAAGGGGTTAATTTCCAAAATATAAAAAGAACTCATATAATTCAACACTCAGAACAGAAACCATCCAATTAAAAAATAGACAAAGGACTTGAGTAGACATTACCAATAGATGTATGAAAAAAATGTTCAACGTCACTAATCATCAGAGAGATGCCAACAAGTATGGGGGGACATTAACTGGGGAACTTATATGCATATAGTCATAGCCCATGGACACAGACAATAGTGTGGTGAAGCCCTGGGTGTGTGAGAGGTGGCAGGGGTCAATGGGGAAAAAATGGGGACATCTGTAATACTTTCAACAATAAAGATTTTTTAAAAAACCCTACCATGTGCTGTCTTTCAAAGTGGGTTAACAGGGGTTGATTTGGAATGGTTGGCCAAGGGATGACAGGGTTCATCATAGGGGACACTCCCATCTACAATGGACTGACTTTCAGATGACACTAACATCCATCCATTCATCCATGTGAAGTCAGCCGGAGACATGCACACATCAAGCCCTGGAGACACAGCTTTTCCTTTTCTTGTGTGTGGTTGAGCAGTTTCTTCTTCTCTGTGGTTTCTTTAGCTTTGTTTTTCATGAAAGCACAGCAGGTACAACCATCTTAATTCTGTTCCTGGCTAAGACCCTCTTTTATAAACATTCCCTTAAAGTTAAGTAAAAACTAGTCTTCCTTTTATGACAATGACAAAAGTGCAATCTGCTTTTTTGTTTCTGTGTAAAACATCAAAAAAGACACAGCCAGGGCCTCTGAAGTGCAAATGCCCTCTTGACCTCCTCTTACAGTTTTGTGTTCCTTGACTTCCCGACAAGTCCTGTTTCTCTGTATCTTTCTTCTCTTCTTTCTTCTGTTGAGAAATGCTATCATCTCATTCTTTGGAAATCAATGCAAAACCATCTGGATGCTTCGTTCACCACATGGCTCTTTAGCTTTGGGGTACTGGGCATTTATTATCCCCAACAGAAATTGGCAGCATCTGATTTTGTTGATCTTTAGCCATAGAGATGCTTGGGAACTCAGTATGTATATCATTATGACTCCAGACACATATAAACATTCGATGTACATATTTCCGAAAGCACAACCTATTTATAATTACACTGGGATTCTCTGTCTTGAAGCAAAAATACATAGAATGAGTTTGATAAACTGCTTTTAAAATTTCTATTGCTTTGGGCCCTAGTGCTAGAAAGGCCCTGGAATTAAGAGGAAATGAGGAGGCAAGATAAATAATATACAAAGCAAGTGTTTTACCTGGCAAAGCCAACGCCTCGGCTGACTCCGTTAGCATCTCTTAGTATTCTTGTAGAAATGACGTGTCCAAAGGGTTTCAGCATATTCTCAAGTTCCTGCTCATCCATGGAAATGGGGAGATTTGAGATGTATAGGTTTGTTGGGTCTTGCTCTTGTTGCTAAGGAAGGAAAGAAACAAATGCAGTAAGTTCTAAATATTGAGAAAATTACTGCACAAATGGATAAAGTTTTGATTAAACGGTAAACTGGACTCTACTTCAGGATGGTCTTGAAATTTCTTTCACTAAGGGAATTAATTGCTTTTCTTCACTGAATTCTCTTCTTGCCAGAATGTTTCCTATAGAGCAGTGGTTCTCAACCTTCCTAATGCCGCAACCCTTTAATACAGTTCCTCATGTTGTGGTGACCTCCAACCATAAAATTATTTTCGTTGCTACTTCATAACTGTAATTTTGCTACTGTAATGAATCATAATGTAAATATCTGATATGCAGGATGTATTTAGGCGACCCCTGTGAAAGGGTCGTTCAACCCCCAAAGGGGTCACGACCCACAGGTTGAGAACCGCTGTTATAGAAACAATATCATCAATGAAAAGCAACCTTTCTGTCCAGCCTTCCTTAAAAAAGACTAATGAACTTTTATTGCAACTGAACTAAGGTAAATAAGTAAATTCTTTTTTATTACTATTAACTATTACTTTTACTGTTACCACTCTAATTACCATCACTTTTAGTGGCATTTACCAAGTGCTAATAATATTTTAGGCGTTGTTTTAAACTCTTAATATGCATTATTTCATTCAATATTCTCTCTCTCTCTCTCTCTCTCTCTCTATATATATATATATATATATATGTATGTATATATATATATATAATTGTTACTAATTGTTACTATTTTAAAAATATATTTTCATTGATTTCAGAGAGGAAGGGAGAGAGAGAAGCATCAATGATGAGAGAGGATCATTGATTGGCGTCCTCGTGCATGCCCCACACTGGGGATCAAGCCCACAACTCTGGTCTGTGCCTTGATGGGGGAATCAAATCATGACCTCCTCATTCATAGGTCAATGCCCAACCACTGAGCAACACCGGCCAGGCAATTGTTAGTATGACAAAACTGATCCCTACCTTGTCCAAGTTACAAAGCTAGTAAGTATGAAAGCCAGGGCTAAAATCTGGGGGTATTGCTAAAGTTCTTGAGCTTCACTGGCCTGCTATACTGCCTTGCACCAGACCAATGAGGAAAAATGCATGGTCACAGAAGAGCATTATCAGCTTCAGCATCAATGCAGGAATTGCCAAAAGTGCAAAATCTCAGGCCCCACCCAGAACTACTAAATCAGAAACTTGAGGGTGAGCCAAGTAGTCTGCGTTTTGAAAAGTCTTTCAGGTGATTGTGATGACTACTCAAGTTTGGGAATCGCTGCCCTAGACCATCCATGAATATTTATATGCAAATGAATTGTGATGCCCATCACTTTCGAATCCAGCAACAATAGTGCTTAAATAAGTTTTGCTTAATAGAATGGGAAACCAAACAACTATTAGCATTATTTCTATGTACATGAATGTTCTCTTTCACATAATGCATTAATAAATTGGAACTTAGTTGTATGTATGTCTCAAAATAACCTGACATAATTAGTTATTAACATTCAAATATATGTTATTTCATTGAACCATTATATTTTTTTTATAATTTTTATTTCTTAAAGTGTTAAAAAGAGTATTACATATGTCTCCTTTTTTTCCCCCCCTTGACATTCCCCCGGCCCCTACCCCACCCCCCGGGTGTCTTGTGTCCATTGGTTAATCTTATATGCATGCATATAAGTCCATCGGTTGATCTCTTAATCCCCCCCCCAAACCCTCCCCAGGCTTCCCACTGTAGTTTGACAGTCTGTTCAATGTTGCTCTGCCTCTGCATCTAC